GAGGGGGCTCTGCCCGTCCAGGCCGCTGGATTTGCCCTCGAGGTGAAGCCGCGCGAGGGCTCCTTGGCTCTCAGCGACGGGTCGGCCTAGCGTGGGACCGAAGAGCCTTCGCGGCGCTCGTACGCGCCGCTGTGGCTGGGAGCCGTTCAGCGCGCGAGGCCGTGCCTGGCGCGGAGTACTGCTGCTTCTCCAGCAGCCGGTGCTTCGGTTGCCAGGTGTAACTTTTAGGTGGACGTGAATGTGTTCGCGGTTCAGGATGCTGTTGCCATCGGCTTCCCGAAGGCTTTGCTCTTCTTGCAGCTGCACTGTATTGGTATTTCAGTAATGCATGGGAAAGGCCTGAACTGAAATATCTTGCCGCGGAGCTGAGTTTAAATGGAAGCATATCTATGTGATTGTTTATGTCTTTTTGCTTTGCCTGTTACAAGTTGTACTACATAGAGCAAAGGCTGTCAGAGTCTTCCGAAAAAAACCAGATGCATTTATTGAACACCATTTGGTAAACAGGGTTAAACCCAAGTGCAAACTACAGCTGTGATTCCTGAATCCAAAGCGAGTAAGGCCTGGAAGGAAAAAAAAAAAATCTCATGCTGGAAGAGTAAGCATGTCATGGTTGTGTTTTGATTCAGCGCCACAGTATGCACAGGGCTGTCAATGTTTGAGGCTGCTGTTTAAGAGAATCAGTTCCCTGCAGGAAGGCAGTGACTCACAGATGACTGGTGGTTCATTAACTACGTGTGTACAGTGACTCTGGTGGCTGCGGTCATTGGCTGTCCCTTCCAGGTGTAATTCACTGTGAAACTACTCGTGAGGGAGGAAGATTCCTGGGAGATCAGGACGTGTGAGAATCCAGAGTGCTGCAGGGCTGCATGTGACCTGCTCCCTTTCTGGGTGATGATGATGATGTTATATTCTGCACCCTCATTCTCTGTTAATGTGCAGGGATGTTTGAGGATGCAGTTTGGGGCCCAACCACAGTAAGGAGTTTTCCATTCCCTTGTCCCAAGGCAGCCGTAGACCTTTGAAAAGGTGTCGTTCTTGAGAGCTGGGAGAAGGGCTGCCTTGCCCCAGACAGGCTCAGCATGCTGCCGAGTGGGATGAAGCCTGGGGCTTTCTGAAAACAGCATGCCCAAAGCTGAGCCTGGGCAGACCAGTAACGATAAACTGATTCAAACACAGTGAGGTAGCAAAACCCGTGAACCCAGAACTGTTGAAGGCTAGTCAGTTATTGCAGAAATACTTCCGGAAAGGATAGTTGTCTGTACATAGATGTCTTTTGCTGAAACTAGTTCACTTCAATGCTAGGAAAGAACGATTAGGCACAGGACAAGCCTAATGAGCTAACGTCATCTTTAGACTTAAAGGCAAAGTGCTCAGAAGAGAGAACAACAAGTTAAGCTTTTATGTGAATTCAGGGCCTGATTTCTCTCATCCCTTCTCAGGTGAAATACCTGTTAAGATTACAGCTTCCCCCTCCCCCACCCCGAAAGTGAGAGCTGACAGACACTTCATAAATTTTGCAAGAAGCTGTTTTTGTCTAACAGTAACATTTGAATATCCTGGTGGTGGGAGAATGCTCCTCAGAGATAAAGGGAGTTTCAACTGTACGAGGGCTGCAAGGAGGAACTTTGAGATTGTAGAGAAGAACGAACCAGCAGTCTTGCATGTTTGTGAAGCGTGCAGATCACAATGCTGTCAACAAAACTGTGATGTAGTATCCTCTGAAAAATACTGACTTTGTAATTAATTGTCAGGAGATGTTTACTGTAACTACAGGTTCTGCTTCGTTGTGCTGATGTATTTTTAACTTCTCCTTCATAGCTCTAACTAGTCTTGGAGTGTGTCAGCAGCGTTTTGTGATCAAAAGTGTTTGCAGATTTTAATACACTGTTGAGAGCAGTCTGCAAGCAAAAGCCAGTGTATTACCCTTTTGTAAGGGAGCTGAGAGCATCTGCTTTAATTAAAAGTAGGCAGTTGAGATCAAGGTTAGCTAAGGCCTTGATGTTTAGACTTGTTTTCCTATATGCCCTCTCATAAGACAAAATCACGCATCAGCTGCTTGGTGAAAGTGTCCATGAAATTACCAGCAAATATCCACAATTCCTCCCTATTTCTGGAGGAATATGGAAGCTTTTTATAATTTCTGTTATGTTCTTTGTTATATTTTGTGGGTCATTCAAAACTGGAGGGGTGTAACCCAGCTCTTCCCAATTTCTCTTTTTAGAAACAGATAAGTATACTCTAATTACAAGTGCATCTTTATCACATCTTTATTGATTTTTATATGTAGCATTATTTCACAAACTGTGCTTTGGGAAGGAGACTACAAATGTACACTTCAGGCTAGGGTTATGGGGAGTCTACTCAAAACTGATCTTAATTTGCAAGTAAATAATCTCTTTGCAATTTAAATGTCTGTTATTTTTAAGCTTTTCTGTCTCTCTAGCATGTAACACCTATAGAAAATAGATATTTTGGTAGTTGTACAGATTTCATGATGATTTTAGATATAATTTACAGATGCTTTCCAGACCTCTCTTTGTTTCAAAATTAATATTTATTCTTGAAAATTATTTTCTTTTCAGTGCATTAAAATATCTCAATAAAACCTAAGATGCATTTCTAAGTAACTTACTGGGGCACAATCTAGTGACTCTTTGTAGAGGTCAGCGTCCTGGTACTTTGATTATTTTGTACGTTAATAAGACAGACTCTGTTCTGGGTTTTTTTATAGCTTTTTATGGAGAAACACTGAAGCATCATTCCAGAACTGACCAATGATAGATAGTCTTTAATGAGGAGCTAAGGAACAAGGATCTGTGTTTGGTGCATTTCTTTTTACCTTTAGTATTATGAAAACTAACCTGGTAAGAAGGGCTTTTTGGAGTTGTGCAGTTAACAATCGCTACTTCTGATGATGGTTGGGTTTGGGATGCAGGGAAGAGAGATTTGTTTATTAATGACTCTCTGTTAATTTATTTCTAGGAAAAAAAGAAAAAAAGTAATGAAGAGCCCCAGATCCAGGAGTCTGATGATGTCTTCCTCCCGCCTGTGGCAGAAGTGTCTTCTCAAGCCAGTAAAGTGCAAGTGGAACATCCTGAAGGATTTGCAGAAATCCAGCTCAATGATGAAGCAGAGGATGGAAAAACTATAAATGATGCGTGTGACATCCCCTCAAGTACTTTAACCTTAGCAAGCGAAGTATCTTCAGCAGTGACTTTAGGGCCTCCAGCAGCTGGAGGAGAGCACAAAGCTCATCCCTTAGGTGAGGGTTGTAGGGGGAATGATGAGAAGAATGGGAGAAGCAAGCTGGGCAGGCCCCAGAGCCTTGGGAAGGCTGTTGGCAGTAAATCAGGAAGCTGTGATGTATTGGGTAGTACCTTTCATTCCAGTGCTGCTGGCTCTCAGACACTAGTGGGCTTTGTACAGGACAAAGGAACTGAAAGCGTTCAAGACGTTAAAAATCCTCTTGTCCGTTCCTTGGAGAAGCTTCCTGTTACCATGTCACAGCTCTGTGAGAAATCCAAAGTATATGTTCAACATTCGGGATTGAAAC